CTCGTCATTGCTTCTGGATGAAGCTGTCTTGGAAGACACCAAGAGAGTGCTGAACGCACGTAGTGAATCGTCGATCCCACGGAATCCCTTGGATCCGTACTATCATTTGGTAAAGGAATTTCAAGACGTCGTCTCAAAAGACCCGCCTTCGAACCTACCTCCGGACCGCGGTGTGCGTCATGAGATCGACCTGGTTCCGGGAACCAAATACTGCTTAACACGCCAATGGCGCCTGCCCAAAGAGAAGTGCGACGTCATTGACGCCTTTTTCGTGCGGAGCACGACGCATAGGTGGTACGTGAGAACAAGTCTTCCCATTCGACACCCATGTTTTGTGTTTAGAAGCCGAACGGCAAGTAGTGTATCGTTCATGCTTACAATAACCTCAACGCTGCCACCATTCCGGCACAGACGCCGATTCCTAGAAAGGATCTTCTTCAGTACAATATGGTGGGATGTACGAAGTACATTGCAATCGACTTGGTCGATGGGTATTACCAATTGCTTATGAGAGCGAGTGATATTCCGGTGACAGCGGTGAGCACTCCGAGCGGGTTGCTGTGGGAGCTGCTGGTAATGCCTTAAATGCTGCCAATTGCACCAGCAACATTTAATTGTCTTGTGACGAAAGTTTTTAGGCCCCATCTGGCGCATGCCCAAACATATTTCGACGACATCTTTGTCCACAGTTGTAAAGAGCACAAGACGACGGATGGAGAGAGCTACATCGTTCATTCAAGAGTGGTGAACGAACGCATACGCACGAATAAGCTATATGCTAATGCCGATACGTGCACCTTCGGCGCGGAATCAATTCCCTTGTTTGGGTGCTTCATTGAGATGCGTGGATTTCGAGCGATCCCGCTAAGGTAAAGACCACTGAGTACTTGCCGGTTCCAAAGAACCAAAGGGACTTGCACAAGTGGCTTGGCCTCGCCAACTACTTGCACAAGTATGGCGCAAATTCTGCAAAATGACACGGCCATCGTCTGATTTTCTTTAAAGATGCGGAATGGTTTTGGGACACCGAGCACCGGGAGGCTTTTGACAGGGTCAAAACAGCCTCCTTTATACACCAATATTTTGTTGCCAGACACCGATCGTCGTTTAGGTGTCGTCTGTGACGCTTCAAAATTCGCCATAGGGGTGAGGTCGAGTGTTCGCGTTTGAATCTCGCCAGCTTAAGGCTGCAAAGAGGAACTTCCCAGTCCACGACAAGGAATTACTTGCGATGCAGTATGCACTTGTCAAGTTCAGGGAGCACCTGCTTGGCTCAAGCCGTTTGTGACATACACAGATCATGCGTTCTTACGCACTGCGACTCAGTCTCCTCGCCTCTCGCATAGGATGACCAGGTGGCTCTCATTCTTTGCAGAAGGTGAAGTAATAGTCAGTAAAGCAGAATGTTTCGGCTGATGCGTTGACGCGTAGACCGGACTATGAGCTTGCCCAGCTCAGGTCGATGACGTCGTCAGTGACAGATTTGATCCGCGCCGAAAACCAACGCTTTGGCGTCTCAGCGCCGACGCTACGAAGAATTTCTTCAACGACGCGATTCACGCGCTCAGTCTGACCATCGGTCTGCGGATGGTCCGCTATGAGAAAGTCAACTTAATCCCAGCACCCTAGAGTGTGTAGGCCAAAGCTTCCCAGTGAAGCGCAGGTTTCTATCAGAGACAATTGACCCCGGAAGTCCATGTTGTCGAAAGCCACGATCGACAAACAGCGTCGCTGTTCCCACACCGTCGATTGTCTCGGCTCTGCCGCACGATGTGCCATCATGCTCAAACTGTCCACAAAGACCACTACACCAATGTTGCCTTCCAAGTCCTTCAGCAGGCCAAATACAAAGTCCATACTCATGGACGGCCAACAATCGGTGGGAATCGGTATACTGGCCAGCGGCGCCGCCGCATTCTGAGAGTGTGTCAACCTCTGACACGTCTCACACGTGCGCACATATGTGCTCGTTCACTTGTACAGCTTTGGCCACCAATATGGCAACTCACCAAGCTGTACGTCTTCTCACAACCGAGATGACCACTGAGTGGGGTATCGTGGGTCCCATAGAGGATACGGTGTTTTAAACTCTCATCGTGAGGAACCACAACTCGTGGTATCCGTCGAATCGGTGCTATAATACAGCAACCCGTTACTCAATGAATATTGGTGTTACCGTGCAACGACAACTTCTTGTCCGATTTTCCTTGCTCCCGAAAGCATGTAGCAGCGCTACACATATACTGTCACCCGCAAGCGCTATGTTGCCACTCGTAGGGTCTGCTCTGAACAATGCAGTACATTCATCTACCGACTATACACCGTTCCACGTGGTCGGGCTTGTTAATCCTCGCGTCCCGCTGACGCCGCCATCCCATGGCTCAGGGATTGGTGGGGAGGAATAGCCGAGCGGCTTGCTCATGTCAGCCTCCTCACCGTGCGTAAGGAAGTCGACGACTTCCTGTCTACCAAACTGAGTGTCTTACGACATTTTTGCGATGCGATGGCTGAAAGCCAAGACATGCAGAAGGAATATGCAGACAGAAAAGGAGGAAGAAATGCTGAAAACATTGAGGTCGGAGACTCGGCTTTATTAAAAGCTAAAAACTTTCTACACATGCAGTTTCTGCTGTCCTTAATACTAAGCTCCGTCTACGGTTTATTGGACCTTTTAAAGTCGTAGCCAAGCGAGGCCTAGCGCATACGCCGAAACTTTCGAGAATGATGCGCACCCACCCAGTGTTTTATCTGGGCTTGTTTATGCCGTACCGGGATCCAGCGCAAGTGAGCGAGAGGCGTTGGCGCCAGGGCGGCGCCCAAAGGCGCTCGGCCACCCGGAAGTTGATCCAGCAACTAGTTTTGATGACGGATTGCAACAACTTCCGTTTCCAACGGCGCAAGGCACTCCACCATCAGACGAAGTGACGTACACGCCTGCTCGAAGAGCACGATAATCTTCAACGCGAGGCAGTCGGTGCACAAAGTGCTCCAGCTCTCTAGGTATTCCGCACAGCGGTATGCGACCTCGGGAAATGCTCGGCAGAGTGCCGATAACGACGAACGTTGTCCTCCAACGCTCAAAAAGCATCGCGATTCACCGGACGGCGATCGACCAAATCGTCATCGTCCGCCACCGACTCTTCTCGATGACATTGGTGGCGTCTACTACCACGTGGAACGCCTTGTGGGTCGATGTCGTCGACGGGGTTTAACCCAATATCTTATGAAGTGGCGGGGATACCTAACTTCGAGAAAGGTGCCACTTCGGCAAGACTGCCCTGACGTCGGAAACGCTTATGATCAGAAAGATCATGACGCTTCGCGCCATCTTGCGCACGCGCTTCTCGGTAGTAGACAAAAAAGGAGGGCTATGAGCTGAGCTCAAGCTACGGCTCTGAGCTGCTGTGTTCGTAGACCTACCTTTGTGAGAAACCATAGAATTCGCAGGAACGTTATGAATTGTTTCATACGTCGCAGGGCGACAATACGCAGGAAGTCAGCGTGGCGCCTTGAGTTTGGCAAACCCAAATCTAAGACGGCGCTCAACGCTCACGTCCACTTCCTGTGACAACGCTGAAAGGAAGACAGCGTAGAAAGTCTTCGGGGCCGTTGCACCCATCGCTCGAAGATCTCATTGTCATCTGCAGCGGTTTTGCCAAGGGAGCACCACAGTAATGGTCCGCATTGCGGGAACAGGGGCACCTCCTTTTTGAGCTCGAAGTCGAGCGCGGTACTGTTCCATTAGGATCTTTTGGAGTACCAAAAAGCGAGGTCGCAGAGCTTTCCGCTGATAAAGCTCAGCTTGTGGAGTGGCCGGAGGTTCGACTACGTAGACGCCTAACGATCTAGCAATCGCGTCTTTCGCTCCAGTAGCGGTATCCGCCGAGCGGAAACCGTATTCCACAGGAGGGTCTAAGACCGAACGTCGATACGAGCGCAGGAGAGCCGCCCTGTGAGCAGCCTCCAATTCTGCTCCTGTGCCTCGTCGAGGCGATTTATAATAACGCAGCTTCCCCCGGAAGGCGAGAGGTCGGGAAACGGACATGGTATCTGTAGGATTTGAGCTGGCTCACGTCGCGTCGTTAGTGCACTTCATCTTCCTTGTCATTCCATGCTGGGAAAGGAGTGTTCGACTTATAGTCGACTTCCTCCAACTCCTCGACGAGTAAATCCGTCGCCCGGGGCGGGCGCGTTGTAGTGCGCTTAGTTACCGAGGGCCCGGGATGTGCTTCCCGCGAAGCCGCGGACGTACTGTCCGGAGATGCACCCTGTGCAGAAGAAGAAGAAGAAGTGCTTTGCCCGCGGACACCCTAGCTACTAGCTGGGTGTATTGCATGTCGTAGACACAGTGATCATAAAGCGGAGAATGTTTTAAGCTGTTTTTAAAGAACGTTAAGGTGTATCAGACACGCGAGCCTCGTATGAGGCGACCGTTAAATGTGAATTGGGGATATTTACAATTTTGATGGGGGGTAACGTGGTTACACGTGCCCTTGAAAGAGAAAGCGGTTCGCACAAGATTGCGCTACACTAACAGTGTAATCACACTGTGGTGTGGCTACACTGTAACAAGTTGCCACCACGTGGCAGGATTGCCAGCAGTAATGCATATTACTATACTCATTAGGTTTGCTACGCTAATTAGGTATTACTAGATTGATCAGGAAAATCTGGGGTTTTACATATTGGCGGATCTGCCGCAACTATAACAATAAAATACAGTTTTTTCTCGAACAGAAGTGTTCGTTTGCCTTGATTAAGGCTTTAGTACTTGAAAATAGCGGATTGCGATCCGCTACATTTTTACTGGTTCTTGAAAATAACGTAAGGTCGGTGACCTAAGCTTAGCTTCCTCTGAGCAAAGAGCAGCGGTAGCCTGCTGCAGCTAAGCTTTTTTACGGCAAAGTTTGTCGCCAGCATAACTTATCGACGGTCTTCGTTTCAAATCGACATTTGCGTCTACGTCAAAGCTTAATGAAATTTGTCCAAGCTACTGGGCACCGAATTGCACAAATATATCACTGATCATCTACAAAGGAATGGTGTGTGTGTCGGAACTTGTTTTTCGCGTGGTGAGAATATCCATAGCTCATTTATCACCGATCACAACTCGTGAAGAGATTCGGCGGGCGTAAAGATTGCTTCAGTCCTAATGAGGCTACACAGGCAAGAATCGCCTTTGCCAAAGATCTCTCGTTTGGGGCAAATTTTTTGGTTGGGACTCCGGGAGTAACCAAAAGGATTTCTATTGGTTAAATCCCTTGCTGTATTGTCGAGTTTTGCCATTGCCGTCGATGGTGATGGACGCGCCTTGTCGAGTAGCTCGTTAATCCATGTGAGCATAGCATCCTTTTTATCATATGAAGCTTGCGGGATATCTAAAGTCCTGTTTGTCATTGTACCACGCTTATTCTACTTTTGTGACAACAAAATAATGATAAAATAACAGTGCACCGAAAAGTCGCACTTGTTGCAAAGCAAGCGAACAAGATGCCGGAGGCAGTAAAGATCGACATTTCCATGGAGGTCACAGAGCAGGAATACCGAAAGATTTCCTCGCGGCCGCATTTAAAGCATAATGACATGACAGCTGAGGTGTGCACAGAAACCCTCGAGATCATCACGATGGCGTGTGACAAGCACGTGCCCTTAAAAAATTACGAAGCGGCAGCACAACTTATCAAGCAGAGTATGGACAAGAAATTTGGGTCTTCGTGGCACTGCTTCATTGGTGAAGGCTACGGCTTTGACGTAAGCTACCAGCAGCGACACATGTTGTACATGTATGTGGGTGAGATCGGTGTGCTTGTTTATAAGTGCTGAGACGATATGAACTACAGCCTTTAAACTTTCAATACTTATTGATTATTATTGTACAATGAATTGGCCTTCTTTCATCCTGAATAGTACTGCTCGGAATAAAATAGCTGTTAGATTGTGTCTCCGTTTGCTAGAAGCTCTTCTGACAACTCAAGTGTCTGATAAAATGTTGGGGTCACTGCGATACGCTGGTCTAAAGTATCCATGGCCTTGACAAACTCCTCGCTTTCCAACTCTTTGAACGGGAGGCCGAACCGCTGATTTCTTCTCGTTGCGTCGTCCAGAGTCTCATGTGTCTTCACTATGCAAAAATTGATAACCAATAAGAGACTACAGACAAAGTGGATGCCAGCGTATAGGCTGCCCGCAATGTAGCAGTTAATTTCGGCGCTGCTGGGGTTTGCATGCAGCCCATGCACAAACTGCGGCTGGAATCGAAGCAACAAACCGAAGGCTGGTACAAGCAGCATACCAGCTGTAGATAAAGCCATCACGGCACGCACGTGGCTGAAAGTCATGATACTCTGTCCGTGTATTTTCTACTTTGAGAAAGGTTGTGCTCATACTCAAATGTTATTCCGCATCTATTCGTGTGGGTTCGTAAAGGTACTCATTATACCAGAGCTTAATAGTCTCGTGCACAATTCCGTTACGTTATCATTAAATCATATTACGGTTACAGGTTGCCTACATGTCGCCGCAATTTTGTTTCAATCGCCTCCATCAAGTCGCAAACCACCTTAATTCGATTACGCACGCATAGTGGAAGGTACCTTGTGGTCTCGAAAACTTTTTAATTCTGCAAGTCGAACAAAGCGATGGTATATTAATGGTTGAAGTTGGCTCAATCGACCTGGATTCTCAGCAAAGCATACAAATAAAGTCTTAATGACGGCTGCAATAGCTTGAGTGGCCAAAGACATGGTCGTATAACACAGCGTAAATGCTGCTAGCGTGAAAAAAATTGCGTGCGACGAGGCACCAGCCAAAGCCGATGCCACCAATGCACTCATGATACCCGCCCAGCCATTACCACCAAGTAGCAAAATCCGACTCGTTAAATCGTCGTCCACAATTGCCTCGACACCATGTTGCTCAATAAGCTCCCACGCATCATGTGCAGCAACGTAATATGGCTTATTGTAGGCTGCAATGTGAACAAAGGAGAACTTATGGTACGTGCGGATAAAGTGCTCCACTCGCTCAGAGCGAAGCGATATAAATCGCCGCAAAAGTGCCGACTCGTCCCGTCGAGCCCAGCGCAGAGCAGTCCAAAGGAGATGTGCTATTGGACACAGCAGCGAACCAATACAAATAGAGCCAAACGAACTCGAAATGGCGCAGCGCACGTAGTGTAGCACCACCTTTCGGTCAAGGTTCTTCGTACTTGGGTCTTGCGGTGCCTGTTCATTCTCATCGACTTGTGAAAAACCGTTGTCCGAGTCGGTTGATTCGTTGCAGCAATACCAAATCATAGTCGTGCCAGAGACCACAATTGTAATGATGTTTTTAAATATGTTTGACATCCAGTAAACGTGAAATATTAGGTAAAACATCGACAGACTCCACGGCGGCACGTCTTGTCCGACGTATCCAATCGTCGTACAAATCCAGCTACTCCATACGGTGTAAGTCACCAATACAGCAATTGTTGCATATCCGAGTGCTGGGTGAGTCGTCAGAACCTCAACGACCAGCTCGAAAAAAACTGCTACAAAGTCCAAGCCGTTTGAGCGTATGTACCACACCAAGTCCAAGACCACGACACCCGCGCAAATGATGCCCCAAAACATAGCAAAAGAAGAATCGACAAGAAACAACATGACTGATAAGGCTGTGAGTCCAACCACTGAAAAAATGCATGAGCCCTGCACGAAGCGAAGCTTGGAGTAAAAAATAAATAGCAGCAACCAGCCCAGAGCAAACAGCACATTGACAACACATAGCGAACGCAACGCCACTCCGATATCGGCATCATCCTCCAAGTTCAAATTTTTGTCGGTGTCTCGCAGGCCACTCACTATGTCACGGCGTTCCTCCTTGCGCTCATCGTCTGCGCGAATGTTGCCAGTGGCGAGTACGGTCAGAATGAGATGCAGCCCGAATAGCCCAACAAATGGAAGATCTCGAAACATAAGCGGTAATTGCAGCGATGGTAGCGGTCGTTCTCCACTAGCTGAGTCGGTCATGGAAAGCGGGATCAGCTTTGATGCAGACGCCAAATCGTAGTCCGCTATATCGTCGTCGTGCTGCAGTGTTGGTGATAGAGATAGATCTTCCATGGCCGCGACAGGAGAAATAGGTGCGTTTTGTGGACTATCATTGACGTCATCAATAGCAATTTTTAACGGTCGTAGGACTGGCGCTGCCATCGCCGTCCTGTTTCGGACGCCTGGTAACACGGCAGTTTTAAAAATTGTGCTGTCATCAAAATAAATTAAAATATTATGTGATCTACTTAATGTTGTGCACACTAATGTTGCTGAGCAGGTGGTGTGAGCCGCGGTCTCTAGATATTGCGAAAAATTGGGGTCGTACATTGCGCCCGTCAAAGTGTGTCTCTGCTGAGCCATGAATTAGTGACACTTTGTCGTAATATATCGAGTGTACTTCTGACGAGAGGTCTGTAAATTGATTTTACTGAGTCAGAGCCGATGAGACGGGAAAAAGCGACCGATTTTTACGGTCTTTTGTTCCAGCGCTGGCGAAACCATTAAAAGCAACTTTGTGTCGCAGTCCACGCTACCACTTTGATGGAGTCAGGCAGCTGTAAGCCGCAAGAAAAGGACTCAAAGTGTGATGATGCTACTGCGTCAGTACTACCATGTGATGTGCCCGTCGTGAGAAACATCCCCGGGCTTGTGGCAAACTCCTGAGCTAGACATCCGATGTAGTCCACAGAGTTGTCAGTGTCTTTGACAGGAGCTCCAACAAAGAATATAATGTTTCCTTAGAAATTTAAGTTTTCTACTCCTCTCACGCACTATTTTGCAAGTTGTTTGAGTTGCGGACGGATCATGGGCTTGTCTTTTTACCTCCGGCACTAACCGACCAATTTTGGTGACCTCCCCTTCTCGCGATTTAAAGCTAAAAAAATTATCGGGATATCTCAACTAGCTTAAGGAGTGTTGGAGTAGATTCACAACGTGGTGATGAGGTATTATCCCGCGTAGATTTAAGAGTACGTATGAAGCTGACCTTTACAAAAAAATGCATTGCTTCGCATATCAATGGTCCTGAACAAGTGGACAGTGTAATTTCATAGACGCTTTTGCCGTGCGAAGCCCGAAGCGGGTCGGGGAACGAAAGTGAGGTTCTCCGCTTAGCGCTGACGTAAAGAATAACCTCAAGTGGTATGTTGTTAATGTTGCTGACAAGCTAAAAGTAAACCACGACTTCGGATAAATGTCAACCTTTTTCTACAGACTAGAATGGCTGGCTGCACTATTGTTCAGTGCCCTCGACCTGGTTGATGCATCTAGCTAAATGCTCGTGAGAGATAGCGATATTTATTTAACCGTGGTGATTGATTCGGGGGGGGTACACTGATTACGCCACAGGGACTGTCTAATGCACCAGCGACCTTCACTTGTCAGGTAGCGCAAAAATTCGCATCATATCGCGGCTATGCGCAAACCTATTTCGACACTGTATTTGTCCATATTCGCGGGAAGTTGGCATTCACAACAAAAACTACCAATAGCAACAAGTGTGTTTTTCGTGACAAAAAATTCTTTCGAGTATGCCTATCCAGAAAGCAAGGCCTGCTAGCAGATCCTGCAATAATTTTGGTCATCGTAGATTTGCCAGAGCTGCCATCACAACGAGACAAAAAGATTTGGATTGTTCTGGTAATTACTTGCACAAGATAATGCACATTGTGTCGTCCTGGCACGGCCCATCACCGCCTCACCAATCTTCTTAAAATGAATGTCACATGGTACAAAGGTGCGGCAGATAAATTTGCCTTTACAGCTCCAAGAGAAAGCTTTTGGACATCCAGAGTGTGGCCCATCTGAATTCGGATCGTCCATTTCACATCGACTGTGATGCGTTGACCTTTGTCATAGACAGCGCTAAACTCTAATCAGTTAATAATATTATAAGCTCATCATGCAACAAATTTCGCTAGCTAAGAGTGGTAACGATGATCTATCACTGCATGACAAGGTGCCATTTGAAGTATGATGGTGTCAAGCCCATGATGATCGATGCCATTTATAAGTTGTATAGCTTAGTTGAGAAGCATACTCTGTTGCTGACCCCGCAAGGGTCAAGGTCATAGCGAACCCACCTTTCATATAAAAATGGTTTGACCTGACTGACTACTTGAACAAGTAAAGCGATAATTATTTCGTCATGACTCGGCTCCTGTCAATCCTCCCAAAGAAACAAAAATTGGCTGGGATAGCAGAAAAGGCAGCTTTTAAGGCTGTGGAGAGAAGATGCTTTGTCCAAAGTCTGACCCAACTACCCGATGGTTCAATTGATGTTGTCTGTGACTCTTCGGCTTTCGCCATATGCTGCTCTGATCTACAAGCAAATGTCCATGTAGTATGAATCCGCCATTGCTTCGAGGCTCGCCAGCTTTCATCAGCAGCACGTTCTTCACTTGGGACCACTTGTTATGAAGTATGATCTTGTCATGTTCAAGGTAAACCTGCTTGGCTTAAAGTCATTTGCGATTTATATAGATCATGCGCCGTCGCGCACAGCAACATTGTCACCACATCTCTCAAAGAAAATCGTAGTATAATTATCCTTTTTTCGAATATATATTTGAGATAAAGCATTAATTGGGTTGGCTTGTTGTGTTAGTCCTGAAGATAGCAGAGGCTGCATGTGTAGGCGGGTTTTTAGAATTCAATAAACCAGGTCTCCGACCTTAAAGCTTTCCACCTTGCCTCTTCCTTTTCCATCTGAGTTTTCTTTTTGCAGGTCTTGGCTTTCAGCCATCGTATCGCGAACGTGTCGTAGGACACTCGGTCTGGCAGACAAGAAGTCATCGCCTTCTTTACGGATGGTGAGGGGGCTGACATCAGCTAGCCGTTCGGTTATTCCTCCCCCACCAAGCCCTGAGTCATGGGATGGCGGCGTTAGCGGAAATCAAGGGTGAATCAGCCCGTTCACGTAGAACGGCGTGTAGCCGGCAGACGAATGCACTGCATTGTTCAGAGCAAACTCTACGATTGGCAACATGGCGCTCCAGCGCCTCGGCGGCTCAGCGCAGACGCTGCGAAGAACGTATTCGATGACGCGATTCACCCTTTTGGTTTTGACCATCGGTCC